TTGGTGATTAGTGTCAGCAGTTTAATAGTAGCTGTATTTTGTATAATGTCCAGTGGAGTTTGTCATAAATTGATGTTTGGTTATACTATGTTACTACATGGCTTTAAGCCTTTGAGGTTTGGAAAACTTAATATACACAAGTCTCTGTTAATGTATATGTGAGCACGTGGCTTATGGAAAAAGATACAAATACTTGTTGTTTATATAATATTACTGTAAGACTTAATATGAATGGTGTAAACTATGTTTCTTAGATCTAATGGCCATGAAATCCATTTGAATAGCCAAAGCCAGAAACTGTTAAGAGGAACAGGGTAAACTTAAGACGATCTATGGGTACACTTAAGGGGTTATGCATTATATAATAAGGGTAAACTGTTAATCCATTTGAATAATAAACGACTACTTCTATCCATATGACTGAATGTGTCACAACTCTATTATTTCTTGATATTGTTACAGTGGACCTAAACCCTGTAAAATATTTACCATTTCTATACTATAACAAGAGCTATTTGGAGGCTAAAGAATGTTCATAAATGGATGAAAGAGAGAGACTAGATTACTACTTATTTTTAAGCTAAGGTCAAAGGGGGGCTACACAAAATATTAAAATCTGTGAGATGAAGAATAATTTTGTCAACTGGTCCCTGATTCTCATGAGATCAATCAACAACTCTCCTCTACAGCCCGCCGCCACACCATCTTCTACAAATCTTCATCAAATGTAACAAAATTGCAAGAATAACTTTGATTATGAAAATCATGCAGAGTAATATACATCTTTTTCAATAATATAACACAAAGCTAATTTAACATTACACATCATCTTTGCAATCTAATTACGAATCATGTTGAGGGAATAACAGGTCTTTAAAAAAATTGGTGTCCCTTCATACATAAATAACGGATGTGCACACCTAATGCATAGTTTGTTAGACATGTAATAAGATTAAACTATTATTATAAAGTATAACATGGTGGTTTGGTTTCATGAAAACAATTTAATCTTACTATTACATACTAGTGTGGTAAAAAGTCTATTTTCTTCTTTGCCATATGCAATGAGAATTTTCTTAAAAAAAACTTCGACATTTTATCAGATGAACATGAAGCGTAAATAACCCTAGTAAACTAATAAAAAAATAAACAAACTATTCAGTTACACATACCTACATATTATATTATACATATATAAGAGTAACGCCTAGTGACCATTATACTATGTTTTCTTTCTTTCTAAAAAGACCATCAAAGTGACATTTTTAAGACATCACCAAATAGTATCCCAATACTTACATTCGATGGTGGTCGTATGTGGAGTTGATATTAGTGTTTGGGGGATGCGGTAATGGTATTCATTTTTTATGATCCAATTGACACCCACGTCATTATCCATAAAACAGAGAAGCAACCAACGAAAATAAAAGAAAACGGAAAAAAGAGTAGAAAATAGAGTAGGGGGAAGGGAGAAGTGGAGAACTGAGACTCCAGAGGGAAGAAAGAAAACAAGAAAAAAGAGGGTCACAGCTTGGAGGAGGGAGTTGGAGCAGAGAGGCCGGAGCAGATGCAATTTTGGGGTTGGGGGGAGAGAAACGAAAACAAAAAGAAGAAAAGAAAACTAAAAGAAAAACAAAATAAAAAATTAGTCCAATAAAGACAAGCCATGTGGCGAGGTGACATGCTGAACAAGTTTATGCAGGTCACCGGTTTGTTATGAGAAGATACACTATATAATTGGGATTATATTGGAATTACCTAAAGTTGGGATTAATATAAGAAGACCACGAATAGTTGAGATTATTTATGTGGATTTTTCCTATCCCTTATCACACAGATATCTATGTGAGTGAAGTGGCTTAGCCAGTAGGAAATAACCTAGTGATCTACTGTCTTTCTATCCTCCAAGCAGTTATAAATATTTGCCCAAGGTAATTAAGCTTTGGGCTTCAAAGAGTAAGTCCTTAGTCCTCCCAACCGGAATCTTTATAAAGCTGTTAACACAAAATCATGCTAAGAGTTGTCATGCTCTCCTATGTCCCTTTGCTTTTGCACATCATTATTGGTGATTAGTGTCAGCAGTTTAATAGTAGCTGTATTTTGTATAATGTCCAGTGGAGTTTGTCATAAATTGATGTTTGGTTATACTATGTTACTACATGGCTTTAAGCCTTTGAGGTTTGGAAAACTTAATATACACAAGTCTCTGTTAATGTATATGTGAGCACGTGGCTTATGGAAAAAGATACAAATACTTGTTGTTTATATAATATTACTGTAAGACTTAATATGAATGGTGTAAACTATGTTTCTTAGATCTAATGGCCATGAAATCCATTTGAATAGCCAAAGCCAGAAACTGTTAAGAGGAACAGGGTAAACTTAAGACGATCTATGTGTGTACTTAAGGGGTTATGCATTATAATAAGGGTAAACTGTACCACACGGGTACACTTAATCATCTTAATCAAAATTCTAATTTAATTTTTTTAGTTTATGCATTATAAAATATTTTAGGTATTAATGTTTTGTTCTTCTATATTTAATTTTAAAATGAATATATGTTAGTTTATTATATATATATATATTATGTGTTAATTATTAACATGAGTTTTGTATTATACTAAAATGAGTATAGTGTTAAATAAATGTGCATGAGTAAATATCATTAAAAACACTCGATTATATTTGTAATTCAAGAACAAAATACTATATGTTATTTTTAATTTAAAATTAAGATATTACTCATTGTAAGTTAAATTATATATCAATTCTCATTTTGTAAGTTACATATGTTCATCTGATACTGATTTTATGCTCATTTTAAAATGTCATATTAATACATATTTCAAAATTAAAGTTTCATATTAGATTCGCATAAGATTAGAGTTACTTTATGTACATGGGAGCGGTGATCATGATACCCTATTGCATGCTTCAGATACTCAATAGAGAAAGTTTGATATTCAATGAAAATGTTTTGCGGCTCAACTAACAAAGATTATGATTTTCATATCATTGATCATTTGGTAAGTTATGTATGCTTATTTGGTACTGATGTTATGTTCATATTTTAATATTATATCAATACATATTTCAAAAGTAACATATTACATTAGATTCAAGTAGGAGTTAATTACATATACGAGAGCACAAACCATGATACTCAATTGCATGTTTCTAATACTCAATAGATGTGATTTGATGCTCAACGAAAATGTCTTGATGCTCGATCAACTAAAAAACTTATGATTTTCTTACTAATGCTCATTTTATAATTTATGAATGCTCAATTAGTATACAATTGCACGCTTCTAATACTCAATAGGGAAGGTTTAATGCTCAATGAAAAACGTCTTCATGCTCAACTAACAAAGCTTATTATTTTCATATTAATGTTTATTTTGTTAGCTACATATGCTCAATCGTAATGATGTTATGCTCATTTTTAAAATGTCATATCAATGAATATTTCAAAAGTATCATATTACATTAGATTAATATATGGAACTTCATAGAAATTGATTGTAGATATAATTTAATAAGTTTCTATAAAAGAAAGTGAATTAGAAGATATGAAGCAGAAATTATGATGCTCAATATTATTTAGACTTCTAATACTCAACAGAATAGGTCTAGTGCTAATTAAAAGTTCATTAATGTTCATTTAACAGAAACCGTTATTTTCATCTCAATATATGAGGTTTGATGCTCAATGAAAATGTCGTGACGTCCAACTAACAAATCTTACGATTTTCATATTTGGAATTGTGCGCATTTTGAAAGTTGTGTATGCTCATTTGATACTAATATTATGCTCATTTTTAAAATGACATATCAATGCATATTTCAAAAGTACCATATTACATTAAATTTGCATATTGAAGTTTATAGAAGTTCATCATAGATATAATTTAATAAGTTTTTATAAAAGAAAAAGAAAGTGAATTACAAGATATGAAGGAGAGATCCTGAAGCTCATTATTTGACTCTTAATGCTCAGTAGAATACGTCCGATGTTTATTAAAAGTGTATTAATGCTCATATAACGAAAACCGCGATTTTCATTGAAATTACGAAAATGCCACCGATTTTTAGTTCTGATATCAGCTTTCTTTTAATAATATGGTGCTCATTATTATACGCTTAATACTCATTAAATTTGAATTATTGCTCAATAACAGTACACTAATGCTCATTTAGTAAAAATCGCAATTTTCACATTATTACAAAAATGCCACCGAATTATTTTGCTATTTCTCTCCTGGGCCTGTTATAGGGCCGGCTGTACGGTGCTCACCCTACAGCCGGTTCTACAATATACGTACTGGAGAATTCATCCGTGCCTCTTTCTCTTCTGCGCATTTCTTCCAAGCGAACACCCTCTCCTCGCTCCATATACTATTACTCCGTATTAATTTAGTAATATTGAGCGAACACCATCTTCCCGCTATGGTACATTAAAATGTGCGATTGTTTTTTTACAAAAATAATGATTAGATTGATCTCTTCAACAATAACATGTTTTTTTTTAATAGATTGATCTCTTCATTCAAAAAAAAGAATACATTTAGTTAATAATTAATGTTCTATTAATATATTATTAATAGAATCGTAAACATTTAATTGGTTTAAGAGAATATTATCTTAAATAGGATTAAAAAAGTTTGAAAATTCCAAAAAAGGACTGCCATGTTTTTATTCTCAAAATAGGACTAATCACTGCCATGTTTTGGCAGTATGAGACTTCAAACATGTTAGTATTCTCCAAACTTAGCGGTAATTAATCCATTTTGGGAATTAAAAATATGACAATCCTATTTTGGAATTTTTAAGCTGTTTTAGTCTTATTTCGGGATCTTTCCCTCATTAAACCAAGACTAAAACAGTTTGGGAATTCCAAAATGGATTGAATCGAGTATGTTTAGGATTAGGATTCCCAACGTATTTTGGAAAGTATACAGGCGGAAACCTGTATCCGCCTCCATATAATTGAGAGATCCGTATCAATCTATGCCCTCTTCATCTTGAAAAATATTTTGTGACGTTTCCACGCCTTAACTTATTTCTCAAAACTTTCTTTCCAGAAAACAGGATGTATAGTCAGAGACTAAATGCGCTGCTGCTTTCTTAAATAGGGGTTTACTGATATAATATCTTTGATCAAGAACTGTAAGAGGATTTTCGAGATGGCAGGTGGTAGCAGGGAGGACTTAGCCGCTGGTGCTGCTGTGAGGATGATGAATTTTGTATCAGAAAATCAGTTGGAGGAAACAAAGCGAACCCGCGGGGCTCGGGTTGAAGATGGTACTGCCCAAAGAGATAGATCCTTAGCTTGTACGAGGCATTGCAGGAGAAGAAGGACAAAAAGGATGCAGAACTCAAGGAACGCATCAAGCATAGGCCACCCAAAGCTCTAGATGAAGAAGAAGCGGAATTTCTTGATACACTCGAGGAGTCGAGGCGAGAATATGAAAAACAATTCATTCATGAGGAAGCAAGACAACTGCAAAGTTTCCAAGCAGCAGTTGCTGCATTTGTCAAAGAAACACCAATAGCTCCTAAAATTCAGGAACAGAGAACTGCCAGTTCTGTGAGGAAGAACCCTTCTGCCAAGCCTGCTTTGGGAATTATGATTATGGTTAAGCCACCAGCAAAGAAAGCTAAAATGGATATTGCAAATTCTGAAGCTCCTATTTTGGCTGTTTCCAACAGTAGCTTAGTACAATATAGTGATGAAAGTGATGATGAGTAGATTAGTTGTTGAGATGTAGTTTGGCGATTTTAAGATGTGATCTTACACCACTAATATTTCTTCCAGTATTTGTGATTTTGGTTCTAACTTGGAAATTAGTACTGCCACCATAAAAAATTATGTCGATCTTGATCATAAATTATACCGGAGTAGGAAAATTGATAGTAATAATCCAAACTATTGGCGGTGCGCTCATAATAATACCAACTATCACTTATTTCAGAATAATCCCAACTTTAGGGACCTTCCGCCAATAATGGTCCCTATAAATAAATTCTTGTAGTTTCTAAAGTGGATGAGAAGAGATATATCAAGTAATCTCGATAAGCAATCTCAACTCTTAATTTTTACGCTTAATTTCTATTTAAAATTCACTTGTTGAGATTATTATCAGTGGATCGATAATAGTTGAGATTATTATTTTCAATTTTTCCTGAATTATACATTACATGAGTATTTGATTGTACGTAACTTTTCGTAACATTGTTTTCTGTAAGATGATCTATATTCAGCCATTCATATTGAATTCAGTGATGAGTCATTACCATTTACGTAGTATTTGTGAAATAATGAATCTGGATACCCGAACTGTCCCGGCTGCTGTCCGCGACCGCAACCACGACCACCGCAGCCCCGGCCACGACCGCGGCCACGACCGCGCTGCTGCTGTCCCGGATGCCGCCGCCGCTGGCCGCCCGGCGGCTGAAAGCCTTACTGCGGCTGGCCCGCCTGCTGGCCAGTCGGCTGCCCGAAATACGAGGGGTTAGCGGCGAATGCATGGTGCATAGAAGATGACTCCTGGGAACGTAGATACAGAGCCCGCTGCTCTTGCTCAACGAGATGATTGCGAAGTGTCTCAAACGGGAAATTTTGGGGAAATAACGAGACAGTGGTGAATAAAGATTCATACTCGGATCCCAACCCCATAATAGTAGTCTTCACGAGGAGGCACATGGCAATTAATAGTAACAAGGTCATCAACCAAAATTTTAATCTCCCGTAAATAATTATTCAAGGACGGTTCGGGTTTCTTTTTAAGTTGGGACAATAAACGCTTTAATTCCATAGACTTAGCCAAACTAGATGACACAAATCGAGATTCTAACCGTCCCCAAATTTCACAAGAATGTTTTAAATCCCGAACATCAATAAGAACGTCACGAGAAAGTGTTGCAAATAACCACGAACGAATTGTTTGATCAATTCACAGCCAAATAGAAAATTCGGGATTGGGAGTTTGATGGCTTAGAATATCTATGGAATAAGCAGGAGGTCCCTGAATGGAGCCATCAACCACGCCAAGAAGACCTTGCGAGACAAGAAAAGACTCCAACTGGGTCCGCCAAGTAGTGCAATCTTCCACCGCGAGAAGCTTGGTGGTAAATATATTAGTGACATTGGTGGCCACTTGAGAATGTGAGATATGGTTTGAGCGAGTTCTGTCAGAGGGGACCCGGTATTGCTGCCCACGGTGGTCCGAGGAGGCAGTAAGGTGGACGACACTCCCAGTGAGCCAATGAACCTGGGTCCAGCGAAAGGACCGGCCGAGAAAGGCGGCGGAACCAAGGGTACCCACTGCACCAGAGTTGGAGCTGACCATGGAAACACCGGTGGCAGATTCTGAAAAAGAGAATACGTCCCAAAAGGTCGACTTGGTGATGCAAAGTTGGAGGAGAACGTCAAGCCCGGGATTCTACGGAACTGAGGACCGACTGCGTTCCAAAAAAGAGAGGAGCGCCGGTTGTCAACGGCGTGCTGGACGCTGCGGATGAAACTATGATGGCCGAAGAAGTCGTCGTGGAAGGCGCTGCAGAAGCAGGGGCGGAACCACCATAGAGCCCGAAGGTGCCTGTGACCCTGCAATGATTTTTTATTTATTAAACTATATATACATATATTAATTTTTATTAATTTGAGACCCTGCAGCCCAATCCCAATTCCCCCTTTCCCTTGTCTGTCTGGCCCAGTCCCACTTCCCTCTTTCCCAGCAGCCCAATCCATTAAGGTTCAATAGCTCAACTCAAGCCTTGCTTCCCTTCCCCCTTAGCCCTTGTACCGTTTTGGGAGTTCAGCAAAATCGGTGGTTCAAACTCACATCAGTCTGTAGCAACATCAAGCCATCAACTCACGAAGGCCGGCCGCCTGTGACTGCGAGCACCTCAGCGACGGCCGACGGTGACTGTGAGCATCTCAGCGACGGCTGACGATGACTGACTAGTGACCACGGTCTTGCAATCTTGCGGGTATATTTAATATTTTTATTGTTGAAGAATGATTGAACGATGATTGATGAATGGTTTATACTCCGAATGTAACTTCTAACTTAAGATTGACCAACTAGAGTACTAGACGGGAATTTTGAATTTAAATTTTATAGTTTTGTTTATTGTTATATTCGTAATGTATACGATTTCTTTATTATTGTGCCCCTGCGAGTCATGAGTCCTGGTTCCGCCACTGTGCAGAAGAGCCGATCGCGACAGAGGTGTTGGAGGTTGAGGAGGACATTCTTGCGGCACCGGTAGTAGAGAGAGAACCGAATAAAAAGAATTAGGTTTTTACTGTGCTCTTGATACCATGTGAAATAGTGAAACATGATAGTATGATACTCTCTAAGGAGCCATGACAGATATATTTATAGTAAAAGAGTTTAATGTAAAGTACATAAATCACCCTATTATTAATTCTATGGAGTAGTATTTTTGTGCCGACAGCACCTTTGCAATTTTTTTGTTGAGGATTCAAATTAATGATGTAATTTTGAGGTCATGGATCGTGTGTCAAGTTGCTCCCATGGTTTGTAATCATAAAATAATGTTTGAATCAGTGAATTGAAGAATTCTAGACAACAAAATTACTTTCATCAAGTGAAGCCGTGAATTGCAACTAAGGAAATTGCAATGCAAGTCACGCCGGATTCTTGAACGTAGTTGGTGCAATTTATTTTAGCTGCGCGAATGCTAATTTAGAGTTTTAGTGAAGTAACATTCTTAGCAATCATTTTAGCTAATCCATAGCTAAGTACTTTATTTTAGTGAAAATTCTTGAATGCAAATTTAGAGTTTTAGTTAGAATGAGACTTAATTATGTAAAGGCATAATGCTTATTTATAATTCTTTGGAGGAATAATAATCATCACCGATCATTAAAATTATTCCAAGAGAGAAGTCACGGACTCCCCCGTCCCCCGCGCTCATCCAGCCACGCGCAAGAAGAGGAATAACTCTTGCAGGCAGGTTACGACATCAATCGGGTACCCTGCTACCCCAAGTTGTCCCTGGACCCTTTCTCAATCTCAGAACCCTACAGAAGGTGAGAGCCTTTGCAGCACTAGGGTGATGATGATGATCGCTAGGCTGTTCGCATTAGCATAGTTTACTTCATGCACTTTTCTACATGTTTGATGCATTTTTTTTTACAAATTTTATAATTATGCCTCATGAGTTTTATGTTGCACGGTTTGCTTTATGCATGTTACTTCATTTTATGGTTATGCTTTACAAGTCCTTTATGTGCACACTCACACAACTATATATTGCACTCTTTGCCAATGACTATTTTGACACACTCAAAAGTCACAACGACGTTATGTTGCACAGTACTATATATAGTACTGCTCAACAAACACACATCCCACCTTAAATGTGCTCAAATTGCCCGAGTAGTTGAGGGTTTTGTAATTTAAAACAGCACAATTTGTCCATCCTCTATAGCCATCTTGCTTGAAAGAGGGCCACGAGCCCAATATTAGTAAAATTACCAATTTATACTATTATCTTTCGACAGCCCATATTTCCCAATTCCCAAACTCGTCTCAATTATCTCGGTCGAGTCCGTATCGCCGCGGAGCAACAGCTACGCATGGACTACTACTACCACTACCACTACCACTACCACTACCACTACCACTTAAATATGCCCCTGCACCAGTAAGGCCTTGCCCTTAATGCTTGCTTGTTTCTTGGGGTTTTGACATAAATAGTACCGAAAAAAAGGTAATGGACAAAAAAGAGACCTTTTTTCTTCATTTCCAAAAATGTGACTAAGAAGCACATTCTTTACTAATTTACCCTTACTAAGTTTTTTTTTGACAGTACCCTTGCTAAGTTTATAACACCGTACCAAACTACCGATGTAGCGCAATACTATCACAACTAATGTTTTTTCTACTCCAGAGTAAATGAGTAATTCATTATTCTTTCAGTGTGTTCCATAAGACTATAAATCTATAATATTATTATAATATTTGTTTTTTAATTATTATTTTTATTTTAATATTTTAATATTAATTCTAAACATAAATGTTAGGATATGAAAATTTTGTGACAACTGTGCAAGTGACCAATGCCTTGGTTATTATTATTCCCGTGATAACCATCGCAAGTACTACTACGGCTCAAGTGATCAGCGCCTTAGTAACTATTACTGCTATAGTGACATCGTTTTAGTTACTACCGCTCTAGTGACATATCCACCATCACCGGTCACGGTGACACATCTGCAGTGACATCTCCGCTGCCATCATTCGTATCACTGCCCCCGCCATACGCCGCCTTTACCGATCACAGTAACACATTTGCAGTGACAGCTCCGTAGTGACGCCGCCACATTTACAACCTTCTGTAATACCGCCATAGTTACACGGCCTTCGTTGACACCGCCACAGTTACACGACCATCTCCGCCGCAATCGAAGCCAGGAGTCACGCCGTCGTCACCTCACCTCACCCTAATCGTGCCATCTCCGCCGCAATCGAAGCCATCACATAAGTGGAGCTCCAGATCCGTCGTCTGCACGGTCATCGTCGTCACCGCAGCCACACCGTCTTCATCTCACCATCTGGATCGAAGTCCACTGTGTTAGGTTGTTAAGACCTGAGATTCTATCCTAAAAGGTCAACCTGATAGGAGGAGTAATCCAGATCTTAATATAGCACTTAATTCTTTCACCTATTTCCGGCGTGGGAATTCAACACCCCTCCTCACGACCAGACACTTTGTCTGGATCGTGCCGTCATTCATTTTTTCATCGATTCGTCATTGTCATTTTTTAATAATCAC